TATATATATATATAAAATCTTGCTTTTCCTCTTTTTCCTTCCCCCTTAGGGCAGATGCCCCAGTTTTAAGTGCCATTATCTTTAGCATAGACCCACCAGCTGAGAAAGTTTTGTCAATTTTACAATATGTGCTGAGTGTGGTGGCACATAGGCCTGCCTGTAATCCCAGCCACTCAGGAGGCTGAGTCAGGAGGATTGTGAGTTTGAGGTAGCCTCAGCAATTTAGTGAGACTGTCTCAAACTTAAATAAAAAAGGAGGGGCAGAGATGTAGTTTAGTGGTAGAGTGTCCCTGGGTTCAATTCCTAGTACATAATAAATAAATGTTATTATAATTAATACACTTTTATCAGGTTCCTTGTTTTCTCATCCTTTTCTTGCTTTTCCCTCCCAGGTAGTCATTGCTATAAAGCATTTGAATTTTTTCCAGTAGGCCCAGCCTAGTCCTTACCCTTGTGTTAGCTGAGAGTAAAAGTGTATTTTATTACTTCAATTTGGTTGTAAGCTCCAGAAGTGCTAGCCTTTTAACATTGTAATCCTTCTGGTTTAGAGAAATACCTGACTGTTTTGTTTTGTGGAGTAGGGGCATTACTTGAACTCTCTGAATCTTCATCCTGTGTTGAATTCTGAATCTTTGCAGGTAAATACCTGCAAGGCCTGCATATGCAGGGCCTGGCATATTGCCAGTTTATAAATAATAACTATCATCTTGATAGTGAACTTATGGGAGCAATTAAAATATGCATGATAGAGAGCACAGCCATGTACACTGTCTTCTTCAGTCCTCTTAAGCAGTGTCTTTATTTCTTCCCTTTGTACTGGGGATTGATCCCAGGAGTGCTTTACCACTGAGCTACATCCCCAGTTCTTTTTTTTTTTTCCTTTTTCTCTTTCCACATTTTACCAGATCTTTATTTTTCATTTTGAGAGAGGGTCTCACCAAGTTGCTGAGATTGGCCTTGAACTTGTGATCCTCTTGCCTCAAGCCTTTTATTTTAATTCTAGAATCAGGCAATACTTCATTCCATGAAACTGAATAAGTGCTCCAATGAGCTGAGCAGAGTAGGTTGGTTTTATAGACATAGAAAGGCTGAAGAAAAGAGACACAAAGAACAAAAAGCACATTGGCCACTTCAAAGCTACTTTCCTTGGGGCTGGAGGTGTAGCTCTGTGGTAGAGCACTTGCCTAAGGCCCTGGGTTCATCCCCAGCAAAGGAAAAAGAAAAAAATTACTTTCCTTGTAAGGTAGGGACAGGGAAATATTTTAAAATAACTTATTTTAAAATGATGTGGGGTTTTTTCTTGTTTTTTAATACTGGGGATTGAACTCAGGGGTGCTTTACCACTGAGCTACACCCTCAGCCCTTCTTATTTTTTATTTTGAGACAGGGTTTTCTCAGTTGCTTAAGACCTTGCGAAGTTGCTGAGGCTGGCTTTGAATCTACCGATCCTCCTGTTTCAGCCTGCCCAGCCGCTGGGGATTCCAGGCCTACATGGTATCCAGCTCCTTTTAGTTTTTATTTTGAAACAGGATCTCACTGTATTGCTAAAAGCCTCACTAAGTTGCTGAAGTTGGCCTCGAACTTTTGATCTTCCTGCCTCAGTTTCCCTAATATGTGGGATGATGGACCTGTATCACCACACCTGGCAGGAAAATCACTTATTGGTTAACCTCAGATTACCTTTTCTCTGTCACCAGATTAAGGGAACTTCATTATGCCAATTGAAGCTGACTTCTTTGGGAAATCTGGCTTTCTCTCACTCTGGTTTCTTTGAAGCTTAATTTTGGTTTTGGTGACTTGGAACTTCAGCAACAATGATTTCATTTAGATTTTTTTTTCCTTTTTTTGTTGTTATTTTTTAAAAATATGTATGTTCTCCATTTAGAATTTTAGTCTGATCTGTTAGGGCCGAGTATGGGAGCCTAGTCCAAAACAATGCCTTCTGTAGTGTTTGTTTAAAAATAAACATGAAGCTGGGCATGGTAGTATATGCCTGTAATTCCAGCATCTGTGTAGGCTGAGGCAGGAGGATTGCAAGTTTGAGGCCAGTCCGGGCAATTTAGTTGGACCTTGTCTCAATGTAAGGACTGTAGGTATGTAGTGCAGATAGAGCACCCCTGGGTTCAATTACCAGTACTGCCAGTACCAAAACCAAAACCAAGACAAACAACAAAACCAGATTAAGGGCTAAGGCATATTGTTGCAGTTTTACATAACATTTACCCTCCCTCCCTCCCTCCCTCCCTCCCTCCCTCCCTCCCTTCCTTCCTTCCTTCCTTCCTTCCTTCCTTCCTTCCTTCCTTCCTTGTATTGTGCTGGGCATTGAACCCAGGGCCTTGTGCATGTGAGGCAAGCACTCTACTAACTAAGCTATATCCCCAGCCCCCATAACATTTACTTTTGAGTTTCCTGGCTGCAAGACAAAAAGGGAAGCTTTCTTATCAGTTTAGATTGCGATCCTCTACTGAGTACATCAAATATTATAACCAATAATGTTTCAATGATATTTTTAAATAAAGAATGGGGGCTGGGGTTTCTTGGTTATTTATTACATCAATTCTTTTTCTAAAAGCCCAAGAAAGAATGTTAATCAGTTGGGTTTTGTTTTATTTAGTTTTTCTCTACAGAGGTAAAATAATGTACAGTGGTCATTTGACTCAGTATAAAGTTAGAGCTTGGAGAATTCAGAGCAGGGGACAGCAAATATTCTAAAAAGAGCCAGGTAGTAGTAAATATTTTGAGTTCTGTGGGTGAAAGCAACTAGAGACAATAGGTAAACCAATGAATATTACTGTATTTCAAAAATTTTTGTTTTAAAGCATTTGTTTCCTTTTGTATTCAATGGGGATAAGACCCACTTTACATAGTCATTGTGAGACCAACACAAAAACAGCCTCTTGTCTAACACTGCCTCTGCCAAGCATATAGCACTTAATCCATAACCATTACCTTCCTTCCTTCACTATGCTCCAGGATCTGTCTGCCCTGGTCCAAAAGAATGTCCAAGAATAGGTCTGGAATGCACACTGAGAGGTCAGTCACAGTGCTGAAAGTTCTGTGATCCTCATAGGGGAACTGCATTTCAGCTGTACCCCAAGGTACAATGGTAGGCAGAGGGGACTTCCTCCCCAGTCCCTGAAGTCAGATCCAGTGGATCCACATCTAGCATCTGACTCTTGGAAAGCATTCCTCAAAGGTCTTTGATCTTGAGGAGCTACTATTCTGAAAAAAGTGCCCTTGGGGCAATGCCTATAGCAGTCAGCTAACAAGTCAGAGACTTAGTGATACTTGTTGCTGTTGAGTGAGCCCCAATGCCTGGTTGGTTTGGCATCAGATTGGGGTGCAGGAGCCAACACTGCTCTAGATCTGTCTCTTTCATCTGAAAGTTGAAAATCTCCCCAAGATGTCTTATGGCCCACAAATCAGCATTCCCCAGGGTGGCACCTTCTCCCTAAAATTTCTCCCTAGAGGCTGATGATCCTTAATCCAGTGCCTTCCACTCTGCATTGGAGCACAGACATCAGGAAAAGGACCAAGTGATTTCCATTTATATGAGGGACCAAATGACTGACAACAAATCTTTCCTGAGAGAGACTGAATATACAAACAATGGCCAGACCTTATGTAAAAATAGAACTCTGACCCACAATAAGCAGCAACCAGCACAAGAAGTCAGCCTACTGCTGGGCATGGTGGCTCACACCTGCAATACCAACCACTCAGGAGGCTGAGATAGGAGAATCGCAAGTTTTAGGGGCTGGCTTCAGAAACTTAACAAGGCCTAAGCAATTTAATGAGACCTTGTCTTAAAAAAAGAAAAAGGGCTAGGGATGTGGTTCAGTGGTAAAGCACCTCTGGGTTCAATCCCCAGAAAACAAAAAAGAAGAGCCAACCCACTGTCTGCAAGTCAGACCTATAGGAAGTCAGATCATATCTCTAGTGATCAGTCTAGAAAGCCAAAGAATAATAATAACAATCAGCAAGCACCAAGTAGCCAGGACTTGATAAATAAGTGACAGCTTCTCTAATTTTTATCCATTTCCCAACTTGGGACCACTTGGAGAAAGCCAAATATGTACCCCTAACTAATTACATGAAATGTCCCATGTCTAATTCACCCACCTACAGCTTCCCCACGCCAGCAGCCTCCAGCAGGGCACACCTGACATCTTTCCTTTTTTTTTTTTTTTTTTTAAACTTTAGAGCTTCCCTACTTCTCTGCCTGCCTTTGAGATTCCGCTGAAAGCAAGTAATGGTGGCTGACTTACTACTCCATCAAGCTCTGAATAAATAGCCTTTGCTTGTTCTCAAAAAGAAAAAGCTGGGTTTGGTGGCACATACTGGTAATCACAGCCACTTGGGAGTGTGAGGAAAGATGATTACAAACTCACCTGGGCAACTTAGCGAGACACTGTCTTAAAATAAAAATGGGGGGCTGGGGTTGTGGCTCAGTGGTAGTATACTTGCCTCGCATGGGTGAGGTACTGGGTTCGATCCTCAGCACCACATAAAAGTAAATAAATAAAGATATTGTGTCCATCTACAACTAAAAAAATTTTTTTTAAATGGGGAGCTGAGCTGGGCATGGTGGCGCACACCTGTAATCCCAGCAGCCTGGGAGTCTGAGGCAGGAAGATCGTGAGTTCAAAGCCAGCCTTAGCAACTTAGCAAGGCCCTAAGCAACTTGGAGAGACCTTATCTCTAAATAAAATATAAAAAAGAACTAAGGATGTGGCTCAGTGGTTAAGTGCCCCTGGGTTCAATCTCTGGTACCAATAAATAAATAAAATGGGGAACTGGGAACGGGAGGGAGGAGCTCATGGGTATAGCTTAGTGATAGAGCGCTTGCCAGCATGTGCTAGACCCTGGGTGGGTCCCCAGCAACACACACACACACACACACACACACACAAAGACATCAGAAATAAGCAACAGGCCAGGTTTCTTGACCTGAGATCTAGAAGAATAGGTTAAGACTCATGACAAGATTCTAGACAAAGATGTGGCAAAACAAAAGCTGGGAGTATTTAATTAACATACACATTTGTTAAAGCATTTACCATGTGCCAGATAGTGTTCTAAATGCTTTCCAACTATGAACTCAACTTAATTCTTATTAAAATCTGAGGTATGAGCACTATGATGATCCCCATTTTACAAATGATTATATTGCTCAGAGAAGTTAAATGCCTTTTCCAGGGTCACAGAGCTGGTGAGTTGTAAAGCCAAGATCTGAACGCAGGAAATCCAGCAATGTCCCTGTGTTCTGAGCTATTGATAGGGAAGAGCTCCCCCTGCACCGGGAGCAGCCTGGTGACAGGGCCTGGCATTCTCAAAATCCCCAATACCTGGGTCAGTAGTTCCAAGCAGAATGGAATGGAGGACAAACAGAACAGAGGTGACAGTGACAAGACTTATGGGGCTTACTCAGGGGCTTACTGTGTCCCTTATGCCCACTGTAGGAGACCCAAAGGTGCCTGTGCTGTACCAGGTGGAGCGGACACGAACAGGGTCGAGCTTCTCGGTGCGCTCCGTGAAGGCCGTGCAGCATGGCAAGCCCATCTTCATCTTCCAGGCCTCCTTCCAGCAGACCCAGCCCAGCCCTGTGCAGCACCAGTTCTCCATGCCTGCTGTGCCGCCACCAGAAGAGCTGCTTGACCACCAGGCCCTCATTGACCAGTATTTAAGGTGAGAGACCTGGAGTCTCTACAGTGTTTTCAAACTGGTTACCACCTGGTAGTGGGTCATAAAGCCCTTTGGTGAGTCTGTTTTTGGGGGGTGGATATGGGGATTGAACTCAGGGGCACTCGACCACTAAGCCACATCCCCAGCCCTATTTTGTATTTTATTAGAGACAGGGTCTCACTAAGTTGCTTAGTACAACTAAGGAGACTGGGGAGGTGGCTATTTACCAGGTGGTAAAGTAGTTCAGTGTTTTAACAACCAGGAAAGTTGCTGAGGATGGCTAAATTGCTGAGGATGGCTTTGAACTTGTGATCCTCCTGCCTCTGTCTCCCAAGCCACTAAGATTACAGGCGTGTGCCACCGCGCCCAGCCTTTCATGAGTCTTGACTATGCATTTAAACATAAAAACCAGAGAGGAATTTGTGGGTGTAGCTCAGTTGCTAGAGTGCATGCTTAGCATGCAGCAAGGCCCAGATTAAATTCCCAGTGCCAAAGCAAACTTCCTTGCCTTCCTCCCTTTCTCTCTCTCTCTCTCTCCCTCTCCCTGTGTGTATAGATAGATAGATAGATAGATAGATAGATATAGATATACATACGTATAGTATATACATACACATACATATATGTAATTATTATTATTTTAATAAACTAGAGCCAGGCATGATGACTCACACCTGCAATCCCAGCAACTCAGGTGGCTGAGACAAGAGAATCACAAGTTCAAGTCCAGCCTCAGCAACTTGTGAGACGCTGTCTCAAAATAAAAAATTAAAGGGACTGGGGATGTAATTCAATGGTAAAGCCTAATGGATTCAATCTCTAGCACCAAAACAAACAAACAAAAAACCTAGAAGATACTGCAGTGTCTTGTATGTCATGAGGTGAAGAATCCTTTTGTGAAACTTTTTCCATTGTGTGTTTCTGGTTTGTATGAGCAGATGAGCATGCGTGTGTGTGCTGGGTTATGACATAAGACACAGAGCCTGTTCTCAGAGAGTGCAGGCACTGTTGCAACTTTCCTGGTTGTTAAAACACTGAACTACTTTACCACCTGGTAAATAGCCACCTCCCCAGTCTCCTGAGTGGTCCCTCTTCCCCTTCAGGTGCTTGATTCAGCAGCTTTGGAGTTCATGCCTGGTAAGGATGAGTGTCCTCTAGGACCCTGGTGCAGAGCTATGGTTCACTCATTGGTCACTACCTTTGCCTTAGTGCATGTTAAATATTTTGACTATATTTCTTATTTGGAGTGAAGCCAGTAAAGTTTGAAAAATGCTGTTGCACAGGAAAGAGCACTGGGTCCAGACATAGGACACACGCATTCTGGCCAGGCTGTGCCTGCTGGTGATCACCAACTGTGGGACTTTGTGGAACTATCGAGCCTCTCAAGGCCTAAAAAACGAGAATGGTTGTTTATGCACTACCTGCTTCCCAGGTAGCAGGGAAAGAACTTCTCTATTTTGTAACCTGGTGTGTGGGATGATTGAGGTCTGGGAGCCCAATGGTCAGAATTAAAATCTAGACTCTGTCCCTAGTAGCTGTGACTTTGGGCAAGTTGTTTGCTTACTCTGAGCCTGTAACCTGAGTTATAAAGTGGTGCTAATCATAATTCCTACCTCATGAGACTGTTATGAGGATGAAATGAGGTAAGAGATCTAAGGCATGTGGTGAGTTATAAATTGTGTTTATACCACTCTTATTAGGAATAAGCCAGAGGCCTGGTGTGTGGTTGGAACTCAACAAATGTTTGCTGAAATGTTGTTAAAGGACCCTGAATTTAGAGTTGTGCTTTTCAGTAAGGTAGCCACTAGCCACGTGTGGCTATATTAAACCAACTAAAATAGAAGTGACAAGTCTGTTCCTCAATTACATTAGCCACATTCAAGCACTCATAATCAATGTAGCAAGTGGCTGTCAGAGTGGACGGCACAGATAAACATTCCCTCCTCACTGAAAGTTTAGCTGGAGAGCGCCCCAGAGGATGGGGTGAACATGGCGGTGCCTACAAAGAGCACTGAAGGTCGTTGTTTCTGTGCTGAAGGGTGTCCCTAGAGATGGGCACCTCCTCCAAGGGATATGAGGCTTCCTGCTGTTCAGGGTTAGGTAACTGGGTCCAAGTCAGGCAGCTCATTTCTTAAATGTTTAGAGTAAGTCTAAGTGTACGAGCCATGGAAGCAGCCTGCTTGAGCTCATATCCTGCCTTTGCCACTCTCTGAGTGAGTTATGTGGATTCTCTGTGCTTATGTCATTTATCAGATGAGAGTGACTATGGTTCTGTCTCAGGAGGAATGAGTTGTATGTGCCCTGCTTGGAATTCTGTCTTGAAGGGTATGGCCTTGCTACAGTGAGACCTGGTTTTATATACATCATCGGTTTTTTTCAGTGTTCCCTATGATAGGTTACTATCAATTATTCACATTTTGCAGATAAGAAGATAGCCACAGAGATTACTAACTGGCAGAGATTACACATGGCTCTTAAATGGCAGGGAAGGGTTCCAGACTCTAATATCTTGCCTACCACCTGGGAAAGAGAGGCGTGGGGATAAGTTAGGAGTCTCTGTTGGAAGCATGAGGGCCATCAGAAGGGGCAGCATGGAAGGAGATCCCCGTCTCCTTGGGTCTTCCTGTCCCTCTCCTTTACTTTCAGGGACCCTAACCTCAAAGAGAAGTACCGAGTGGGGCTGAACCGAATTGCTGCCCAGGAGGTACCCATTGAGATCAAGCTGGTAAATCCACCCACCCTGAGCCAGCTGCAGAGAATGGAGCCCAAACAGATGTTCTGGGTGCGAGCCCGGGGCTATATTGGTAAGAGGACCCATGGATTGGAGGAAAGTACTCTCCAGGGGTCTAGGCCTGCCATTTATTTGTCCTGTGTGGCTTTGGGTATGTTACTTCCCATCTCTGGGCTGGTTTCCTTATCTGCATGATGGGGAGAATGGGTTTGTCACTGGAATTTCATTGTAGGACCTTTCTGGAGAAGTAAGACGACTTGTTGAGGTTCTTATAGATCTGTTAACCATAAGGTACCTTTGTGCACACTGGAAGATGTCCCTTCCAGGACTCAAAGCGGGAGACATGGGAAGACTGGATTTTAGTCCTTGCTTGCTCCCACCCTCCTCCATCTCCACCTCCTTTGTCCTTACACACACACACCATGGGCCAGGTGTAGTGACCAGCCTACACATCTGTGCCTGGAAGTCCCTTTTTCTCCCACCTTCCTGCAGGTCCTGAGCTGAAAAGCCCAGGATCCCAGGGCTGATGGGGCTGGAACCTGTTGCAGGGGAGGGCGACATCAAGATGCACTGCTGCGTGGCCGCTTATATCTCAGATTATGCTTTCCTGGGCACGGCACTGCTGCCCCACCAGTGGAAACATAAAGTGCACTTCATGGTCTCTCTAGACCACTCTATGTGGTTCCATGCCCCCTTCCGAGCCGACCACTGGATGCTGTATGAGTGCGAGAGCCCCTGGGCCGGTGAGTGTGGGGCCACGTGGGACAAGGGCACCAGCTTTGGGGTGGTAGGGCTCCTGCTTTCTTGGGTGATGCTCTCTCCTCCCCAATTCCAGGGGAACACTGCACGGGTCACTTCCTCTCCTGCCCCTCCAGGCTTTGGCTATTCATCTTCAAAATGGCAGATTAAGCAAGTGTCAGCTCACACTTTCTATAACATGTTGGGGCTAGGATTCACTTTGTCCCAGAGACTCAGTTCTAGTCCCCAGATCACTTCAGATTCTTTGTATGAACTGGGATAAATCCTGTCTCTCCTGTGAGCCTCAGTTTCCCCATCTAAACAGATTATTCCACATGTGAGATCAGTGGTGACCCATCAGATTGCTGCTTGAGGGGGAGCTTTTTAAAAATAGACTCTAATTCTACCAAGATTCTGACCCAGCAGGTCTTAGGTAAGGTCCAGGAAACTGAATTTTTGGTACTGGGAATTGAACTCAGGGGCACTCAACCACTGAGCCACATCCCCAGCCTTACTGTATTTTATTTAGAGACAGGGTCTCACTGAGTTGGTTAGCATCTTGCTGTTGCTGAGGCTGGCTCTGAACTCACAATCCTCCTATCTTAGCCTCCCAAGCTGCTGGGATTACAGGCGTGCACCACCACACCTAGCCAGGAAAGTGAATTTTTAATAAGCCTCCTAAGTGATTCTCCTGATTGGTGGTTGGGGGTCAGGGTACTTAGGGTCTCTAAGGGCCTCACTACTTGGACATTCCTTGTAGGGAAGGAGAAAACCCCTATGCAGTGTCTAGCTTTAGAACAGTGGCTTCCTTCCCAATGAAATTCATTTTGAATGAAGAAAAGCTCTGCTTTATAAACAGGGGCAAAGCTCAGGAACTCTTTACCTTCTGGGGAGGGGTTCTCTCAAGGACCAGCGGCATCTTAGTACATGATTAACCACCTCGAGGGCTGGGGATGTGGTTCAGTGGTAGAGCACTAGCCTGACATGCCCGAGACTATGGGTTCAATCCCCAGCACTGAAAAAAAAGAAAAAGAAAAAAAATGACCTTAATGTTAGGACACCTGCGTTCAGGATTGGCCTGCTCCTGGGGCCAAGTTCCCCAGCCTCTTTGGACTTGAGCATCATTGGCAGGAAAGTGGAACAAGTGGAGGCAATTTCATTTCTCTATTGTGAACTCTGCTGTGTTTGTAGGAAACCAGCAGTTCTGTTCATGAACATGAAACTAAGGCCCAAAACCAACAAGGTGAAAGACTCTGGGCAGGGAGAGGTGGAGACCAGAAGACTCCAGGTCATCTCCCCTAGGCATCTTCCCATTGGCGGTGGCAGTGCTGGTGGTTTCTCATGAATTACCGGTTTGGAAGACTTGGCATGGTTATTATAAAAGGAACCAGTGGGTTTCCTCGCACAGCAGCCAGGGCTGCCACATCTGCTTGGCCAAGCTATTGGAGACTTCTCAGAGCTCCTCCCCTGGTGATCTTTTTGCAGAAGAGCAGGGACATGTGAAAGGGTTTTTAGACGTCAGGTGGAGTTTCTCTTGTAGGAGAACCCCAGTGACTGCCCGTAATAGGCTCAGAAAGGGACCCTTGGAGCAGTCACAGCATTCAGTGTGCCCTCCTGTGGGGTAGCCTTGTTCTGCCCAAACCCTTTGCAAGAAGTGCGTTTGGCTGCGCTGGAGCAAAGAAGGCTGTTTTCACCCCTCTCCTCACCCACAGGTGGCTCTCGGGGGCTAGTCCACGGGCGGCTGTGGCGTCGGGATGGGGTCCTGGCTGTGTCCTGTGCCCAGGAAGGCGTCATCCGAGTAAAGCCCCGAGTCTCAGAGAGCAAGCTGTAGCCAGAGGTATCAGCTTGCCTGGGTCTTCAAGGATCTCCCTTCTACCACCATTCCTGAGGTGGGGCTATGTGGAGGGCTGGACCTTCTGCCCCTCACACTTAATAAAGAGACTGACACCATTGGAGTGGCTGGCCTTTAATTTCCCTGGGCCAAAACTACAGCCCTTCTTCTGGCTCTCAACTGCAAGACTTCAGCCAGGCTGCCTTGCTGGCTTGGAGGCCAAGGAAAAGGGCGCGTTCAGCCTGACTTGGCTGCGAATAAGCTGGAGGGGCTGTGTCAGCCTTCCTCCATGTACCATTCCCTGGGTACCAACCCCCAGCCAAAGCTTGTCCTGAGCCCATCTCAACAACAACATTTCTTCCGTCCACTGCAAATTCTCTGTGGAACTTCTGAGGGCTCTCAGTACGCAGTCTTCTAGCTGCTTTCCATGTTCTCCTCTTCAGTCCCCTGGCCCCCCAAATCCTGGGGCAGCCCTTCTCCCCACAGTGGCTTTAAGACTAGCCAAGGGTTATCCCAGCACCTCCTTGATGAGCAATTCTTTGAGACTGGGGGGTGGCGTGGGGGTAAGGCCTGCTTCCTGCAGGGCCTGGAGCCGGGCCTCTGAGTGGCGTTTGTCCAGGCCCAGACGCCAGGAGAGCCGGACATGGGCCTCTAGGAAGGGTGCCAGGAAAGTATGGGGGCTCTTGTCTCCCAACAGCTGCAGGGCCTTCTCACAGCAGGCCCGGGCCTCCACAGGGTCCTCCAGCTCCTGGTGACACACAGCCAGCCCAGCCAGGGTCAGCAGAGGACGATCTGGGCCAGAGGGGGCATCCAGCTGGGTCTGCAGCTGCCACGCATTGGCCCAGAGCGCCAGGGCCTCACGATAGAGGCCAGTACAGGTGAGGCTCTGTGCCCGCTGGAGCTCTGGCAGCACGAAGAAGTCCTGCAGGTCTGGGGCATGGCGTAGCTCAGGCACCGCCTGTAGGTGGCCCAAAAACTGTTCAAAGGCTCTGCTACGGCGGGCAATCGTCTCTGCGGTAAAATTCCGGCGCAGGCGCTTACGGGGGAAGGAGATGGCAGCCATTGGGCCCCGGAATTGCCGCTGCAGATTTCGGTGCAGCCGCTCAAAGTCTGAGTAGCGGCGAGAGATCTGGGCGGGCTGGCGATCTGGTGGCCCTGGACCCATCACGGCGAGGGTGTAGAGCTGCAGGAAGGGCAGGGGTCAGGGCAGGGGCAAACTGTCCACCAGCCTCTTCCCTCCCTACTCCCATCCCAGCTCTGATCCCCCACCTCTTCCCTTCCTCTGGGACTGGACCCAGGAGGGTGGGGCAGTGGCTTAGGAGGCCCACTGGCATCTTACCTGAGGCTTGTCTGAAATGACCCAGGCCCAAGGCAGCACAGGGAAAGAAAGAGAGATGAGCTTCAGTGCTTGGGGCTGCTACCCCTACTCCCACTTCAGGAAAGTCACCTCTTCCCATGGGACAGTTAGTTCTTCTGATGGCCCTCGGAAAACCAGGGATGAGCTGAAACCCAGATCAATCTCTTGGGGCTGAGCCAACTTAAGGACCAGCTTGGAGCAGTGTTCCACTATGCACAGAGCCCCCAACACACACAGGGCTGGAGAGGCTATTCCAAACCAGAGGGAGGACAGGTCCTCAGACTTCTCTAAGAGCAATGGACCAGGAGTTTACTGGATTAGGATTCAAGTGCTGACCCAAGGTCAGCCTCTCTCCTTCCCTCTGTGACCGCAGGCAAGGCAGTCTACCTCTGGGTCTACTTCAGTCTTCAATGAATGAACAAGTGCAAGTGTTGGTACATGAGGGGTTTTTGGGGGGGAGGGGGGGAGGGGTAACTGGGAATTGAACCCAGAGGTGCTTTACCACTGAACTACATCCCCAGCCCTTTATTTATTTATTTTTGGTGCTGGGGATTGAATCCAGGGGTGCTTTACTAATGAGCTACATCCTCAGCCCTTTTTATTTTTTGAGACAGGGTCTCACTAAGTTGCTTAGGGCCTTGCAAAATTGCTTAGGCTGGCCTCAAACTTGCAATCCTCCTGCCTCAGCCTCCTGAGCCACTGGGGTTTTAGGTGTATGCCACTGCACCTGGCAAGTACATGAGTTTTTAAAGATGGTATACCAGAGTATACTGCATCAGATATGGGAGGTGATTCCTCTCTTTAATTTTCTTTTTCATCTTTTTTATCTGAGAAAAGCATCTCCCTTTGTTGCCCAGGCTGGCCTCAAATTCCTGGGCTTAAGCAATCTTCTTGCCTCAGGCATTTGAGTAACTGGGACTACAGGTGTGTGGTACCACTCCTGACTTCCTTTTAAATCTCTGACTGTAAACTGAGAAGCTCTCAGTTTGGGTTTTATTTATTTATTTGTTTGTTTGTTTATTTATTTATTTTCTGGTACTGGGGATTGAATCCAGGTGCTCTACCACTGAGCTACCCACCCCCCAGCCCTTTTTATTTTTTGAGACAGGGCCTTGCTAAGTTATTAAGGGTCTTGCTAAATTGCTGAGTCTGGTATTGAACTTCTGATCCTCCTGCCTCAGCCTCAGTCCCTGGGATTACTGTGCCAGGCTTCAGGTTGGTTTTTAAAAGGCAGTTCTCAGGTCAGGATCTTTTTTCAGGTGACAATATGGCCTTGAACTTGCAATATTCCTGCCTTAGCCTCCTGAGTCAACTGCATTACAGGCATGCACTATGACACCCAGCTGTCTTAAAATACTCATTATTTTATGTAATCCTTGTAATGTCCCACCAACACAGGGAATAATGATATAGTTCCATTAACTAAACACTTACCCTGGGCCTTGTACTATACCAAGCACTTTTCCATCTATGATTTCATTTAATCACAACAGCATTTCAAGGAAGGTGTGTCCTTATCTCTGTCAGCAAAGAAGCAGGCTCAAAGAGGAGGTAAAGGCCTCAAAGACTTGCCCCAAGTACCACAGCTGGCGAATGGCCTAGCTGGCATTCAAACCCAGGATAGGATTTGATAGGATTCTAAAACCTCTGCTTGTCACCCTCCCCACAGGTTATATGGAAACTCAGGGTGCCCATTGAACAGAGGAGGTGACTTGCTTCTCCATAGCCGGGATAAAATAGTTGCCATTCTACTTTTTTTTTTTTTTTTTTGTCATTTTTCTTCCCATCTGGGTACCCAGAGTCACCTCCATTCCTTCCTATTCTGAGCTGCTTGCTCCTTGATGACTGATCTTTGGTATTCCTTTCCTGTGTATGACCCCTTGCCCACTCCAGAGTTCTGGGACCTTTTCCACTTAAGATTGGACCATCAGGGGCAGCAGGGTAGCTCAGTGGTAGAGCACAGACTTGGCATGCAGAAGGACCTGGGGTCAGTCTCCAGTGTGCACACAGAAAGGCTGGATCATCAGAGTCAATCCCTGCTCAAATTGGAACAGCCACCCCATGGGTGTGGCCTTTGTTAGTAACAGCAACAGAGAGGAGTGGAGAGGCCCAAATGTGGGACAGGCTCTGGGCCCCCTTCCTGCTGAGTCAGAGATAAAGGAGGGTAGTGAAGACGGAGTGAGAAGCAGGGAGCTGCCACTGTCGGGAAGAGTCACCCACTGGGCTGCAGGCTCCACGGGGAGCAGAACCTGGCAGCCCTCATTCTGCATGTCGGTTTCTCCCTCCACAGCAAGGAAAACAGACCAAGGCCCTCTCTGCAGCTGTTCTTCACCCTAACCCCTACGGAACCCCCTATTCCACACAGGATTCCATGCAGAACAGTAGGATTATTCCACACAGGAATAGATTCACTTGAGTTATGAGGGGGCCACAGCAGGCCCTAGATGCCTGACATTTCCAATCCAAAGTTAAATAAGACTTGATTCAAAATGCTTGGGTCTGGAAGTGTTTCAGATTTTGGATTGTAGAATCTTTCTATACATAATGAGGTATCTTGGGGATGAAACTTAAATATAAGTTCAAAATTTATTTATACTTTGTGTGTGTGTGTGTGTGTGTTGCTGGGAATTGAACCTAGGGTATCCTGAGCATGCTAGGTAAGCGCTGTATCACTGAGATACACCCTCAGTCTGTTTTTTTTTTTTTTTTAATATCTTTATTTTTTTGTGGTGCTGAGGATCGAACCCAGAGCCTCACATGTGCTAGGCGAGCGCTCTACCAACAGAGCTATAACCCTAGCCCTCAGTCTGGTTTTATTCAGTATTTTAGTGTGTCTGTATTTTGACTGTCAGGTGTGGAATTTAAATTGTAGCATCATGTTGACACTCAAAAGTTTCAGATTCTGAAGTAATGTGGAACCTGAATAGCTACCATCTTATTGAGCACCTCATAATGCCAGGCACAATGTTAAGGGCTCTTTTTGCATTGTCTCCTTTAACTCCTGCTCTAATCCTCAGCATTATCCTCATTGCTCAGATAATAAACCTGGGGGTTGACAAAATCACACAGCCCACCCAAGGTCAGACAGCTGGTAACGAAAAGTGAGATGTGAATCAAGGCTGACCTGGGTCCAAAGCACCTTTCCTTGACCACTAACCTGTGGCTCTCAAGTCTGTGTCTCACCACAGTTTGCAAAAACCTTGGGGAAAGGTGGAAGCACACATACCAGTTCTCAAAACTGGGACAGAAAGCAGGTCCTTAATCTACCACTTCACTCAGTCTCAGAGAAACTAAGTCATTTGCCTGAGGACTTGCTCAACTCACATAAAGTCACATCCCCTTTCTGGCCTCAGTTTTCCCATCTGTAAAATAGGGCAGCCACTTAGAACTACACAGCCAGAACTTCCATCAAGTTCGAATCTTCCCTAGTTTTTTTCCCCAGACTCACAGCCCAGGTGTTCCTGGAACCTCACTCACCACGTACTTGGAGGGCGGGTCCTTGACAACATTGGCGCTGGTCACCTCAAAGAGCAGCCGCTGGGGTACCAGGGTGTTCCGGGATTTCTTCCAGAAATCTTGTAGCTGCCGGGCCAGGAGTTGACTGCCTCGCTGCCCATCGGGCGGGGGGCACCGTTCTGCACAAGCACATGACCAGTCATATCAAAGGACCTCAGGTCAACATACACGGTATGCCATGACCTCACTCATCTAAGGTGAAGTAGGCGTTATTCCCCATTTTTAAAGAACTGAGGGTCAGAGAGGCA